ATTTGTTTTTATAACCTCAAGTATAATTGAACCTCTATATTGCTGAGACATAGATTCTACAAGCTTATATGACAATTTATTATTTTACACACTGAGTCCCCCCCTCAAAAAAGTTAAACTTATGTTAAACATTCTGTGCAGGTGACTGATAGTGATTTTGGAGCATAGGAATATTGCTAATACAGAGCTCAATTATCTTTAGCCTCCTTAATATTCATTCATTGTCCTCATCTGTGTTACCACTAACACCCATGTGACTATTACAAAAATTCTTACAGGATATACAGAAAGATCCCTAGCATTCTTCAAACCAATTCCAATGAAAGACATCAGACACTACCTGATACCTGTAGCAGAAATTTCCTCACTGCACTGTAACCTAACTGCCTGGTGTCCCCACCAATATACTCTTAAACTTCTTTGGTTTATGACTTTCTTTTGTTAATTACCATAGAAATGTCATCAAATTTTGCCAGAATAGAATGTGGAATTTGGGAAACCTGAATCTATATTGCCAGGCTATTATCAGCCAGAACTGCCTCTAGAATAAAATTTCCCTGTGATGTGAGACTCAAGTCTTTGCAGCAATACACTCCACTACAAATGAATTGTTAGATTCCCATGTCAGTGCATGATACATACGTACAAGTAAATAAAACAATATAAAGTAAACACAAATACCGGTGCCCCCAAATTCCATACACCTAGGCAAGGGAAATGGGGGAACCTAGGTGAATTCACATTTTAGGAGGTGGGAACAAAACATCCTAAGATAAAGGATCAAAATATGCCCTCTTTGTACTTGTATCTTAAGATGAAGTGTCCCTAACAGGAGAGGGGACACTAAAGAGACTCAATTTTGCCCTTTCCTTTGGCTATTATGCTGTTGTCTCTTTTCTATTTGTAAATTAACAGTTTTGAACAAGTTAACAGTCCAATTAACTGTTCTGCACTGAAGCTAACATCAAAGGAATGAAGCTGGAAACAGATCTTACCAAGCCCACATGATGGGTTGTTACCTTCACAAAACCAAGTCATTTTGCAAAGCAGTCATGACCAGGCAGGTGAAACCCACAGAAACAGCTGACATGAACAAGAGGGAGCTCATGGATCCAGACTGATGGCTGAGAGGCCAGCATGGGACTAATCCAGACCCCCTGAACTTGGGTGTCAGTGAGGAGGCCTCGACAATTTTTGGGGCCTCGGTATTAGATCAGTATTTATCCCTGGCATCTGAGTGGACTTTGGGAGCCAATTCCACACAGAGGGATATTCTCTCAGCCTGGACCCATAGGGGAGGGCCTGGGTCCTGCCCCTGATTATATGACAAACTTTGGAGATTCCCCAATGAAGGGCCTCACTCTCCCTGAGTAGTGGAGTGGGGATTAGGTCAGGGTTTGAGAGGGCTGGTGGGTGCGGGGGAGGAGGAGACGGAGAGGGAGCTGGGATTGGTGTGTGAAGCATTCTTTTTTTCTTCTTTTACTTTAATTTTAAACAGTTTGCTTCACATGTCAATCCCAGCTCCCTCTGCCTCCCCTCTTCCCGCACCCCACACCATCACCCCCAGTCTCCTACCCTATCCCCACTTCCTTCCACATAGGAGTCTGTCATTTCGCTCAGAGCAGGGTCCAGGCCAGCCCCTAAGAGTCCAGGCTGAGAGAGCATCCCTCTGTGTGTTATGGACACACGAAGTCCATTTGTATGCCAGGGTTAAGTACAGATCTACTGCCCAGGGCCCCATAGGTTGCCCAGGCCTCCTCACTGACTCTCACACTCAGGGGATCTGGATCAGTCCCATGCCCAAAAGCTCCAGGAATCTGTCTGTTTTTCCATCCTTAACATAGCACTGGCATTACAGGTACAAGCCACTGTGATGGCAGCTTTCTACATTTTGGGCTCAAACAGTGGTTCTCTTGATTACATGGCAAGCTCTTTACTGACCGAGCCTTCTCTCCAAACCCCACTTTCCTCTTTTATGAAGATGTGTGTGTGTGTCTCATAGTAAATGTTTACACCACTGGAATTAGTTTTACACACACACACACACACACACACACACACACACACACACACACACATACTACAACCTATTACCTTAAGTCAGCTCATTCATTTTTATCCTAAAGATATGTTACATAATGAGCCTCTTTCATTAATGTCCATTATTGTTCCTTTTCATATAAGTTAGAAAGACATTGAATATTCCTCTAAATAATGTTTTCATGGTAAGAATATATCTTATCATCCGGACTTTTTCAAACCATCATTTTCACTATTTTCCCTAACATTTCTTGTTTGACCCGTGAATAACAAATGTATTACTTAATTTTCAAAAATAGGAAACTTTCAGGTGTCAGTTGTGGGGCTTGTATAGTCTATGGGGCCTCTGGCAGTGGAACCAATATTTATCTCTAGTGCATGAACAAGCTTTTGGAACCCATTCCCTATGGAGGGATACTCTCTCAGCCTATATACATGGGGAAGGCCTCAGTCCTGCCCCAAATGATGTGACAGACTTTGATGATCCTTTTGGGAGGTCTCACTGTCCCTAAGGAGTGGATGGGGGGGGGGATGAAGGTTTGGTGCAGGGAATGGGATGAAGGGAGACAGAGAGAACTGGGATTGGTATGTAAAATAGGATTATTTTTAATTTAAATAAAATTAATTTTAAAAATAGACTGTCATTGAACTTTTGTCATTAATTTATAGTTCTTTTTATTCTTTTTACAGTTCAACAGATCATCAATAGTACCATTTCTTCCAAATACATGAAATAATTCATTCCCCAGTTTCAGTATGATATTCCATACACATTCATTAGTTGTAATTTAGACCTATGTGACTTAAGTCTGGTATGTCCTTAGTAATGCTCTTTCTGCTTGAGCCACCACACAATGATATTAATATGTTATATATTTACCTATTTCTTTTTTAGATCTATTATTATTGCATTCTATAGTATTATCCCTAGTGCATGAACAAGCTTTTGGAGCCCATTCCTTATGGAGGGATACTCTCTCAGCCTATTACATGGGGAAGGCCTCAGTCCTGCCCCAAATGATGTAACAGACTTTGATGATAATTCTTCCACCTTTTGTTGTTTTAAAATTCGGGATAAATGTGATGCTAGGGAAATTCCCAGGAATCTACTCCAGCTACACAATAGTGGAGAGAGTGCCTAAGTTGGCCTTCCCCTGTAATCATATTGGTCACTATCCTAAGTGTCATCATATAACATTCATCCAGTAACTGATGGAAGCAGATGCAAAAATCCGCATCCAAACACCAGTAGTAGTCCAGTCGAAGTGAGGTAGGAGGAATTATATGAGCAAGGGGGATCAAGATCATGACAGGGAAACCCAAAGGTACAGTTGTACAGTTGACCCAAACTTGTGTGAGTTCATGGACTAAAGACCTACAGCTGGGGAGCCTGCATGGGACCAAACTAGGCTCTAAGCATGTGGGCAACATTTTTATGGCCTGGTATGTTAGTGGGACCAGGATCTATCCATAGTGTATGAGTTGGCTTTTTGAAACCCATTCCATATGGTAGAATGCCTTGTTCAACCTTGATGTGTAGGAGAGGAGTTGCTTATGCCTCAATTGAACATACCAGGATTTGTTGGCTTCCCATGGGAGGCCTTACACTTTCTGAGGTGTAGATGCAAATGGGTTGGGGAGAGCAAGGAGGGGAGGGAAAGGGGAACTATGGTTGGTATGCAAAATGATGAAAAAGCCTAAAATAAAAATGGAATGTTTATGGTTATATATTTTATTCTGTATTTTACAGCATTTAAAAAGTACTCAATTAACTATTATCTTTAAATTGGAATGGGGATGTATTTAGATTTATTTTTTGTATTTTTACAGTCTTATTTCAAGTCTTTTCTATATCTTTCCTTTGTCACTTTTACTGTCTACCATGTGGTCCAATAACCATTCACTTTATTTGGATTTTCAGTTTCATTACAAATTTGAATATGCATACTGTTATTATAGAAGTCCAAATTTGCTCAGTATTTAGTGCTTTAGAATTTTGTTAGGCTTTAATAATAATTTATATACAGCACTCTCTCTTAACTTTCAAGAAAATAACTCCTCATTATTTGTTACTTTATCATTTGTTTATATTATTTTGTCTTAGCAAGGCTCCAAATTTAATAAGAAATTGTAAAAGAAAATGTTAACTGATATTTTTCCATGTAAGAATTTGCCCTATAAAGCTTTGGGTTAGACTTGTATAAAATTAGGAACCATAGATCAGGGAAAATAAGTGGGTATTTCATGGACATAGGCAAAATTTGTCAATGATTAAGTAATCAGAAATTGGTATTTGTTTTCGGAATTGACAGTCTTAACTGTGAAGGATTTACAGTTTGTAATGATATATTCTTATTTTATACATCATCAGTGGCTGGCTCTACCCAACTATAGGGAAATGACTTTATTTAACTGGGATTATATAGCCAGCTTTTCTCCATCTAGCAGTAGGTGAAAGAATTGCCAAGACACTCCTTCTAGAAGCAGTTAAAATCCTATAAACAGCTATTTATGCTTTTGTCTTAGATTCTTTGATTGAAGCTGCATATTTTGTGAGATGTATCATCCTGGAGCCACAAGTATGTTACAAGAAGGATATGGGTCCTGGAGCCTGATAGAACTGCACTAAACTGTGTTATTGAAGAGTGTCTTTGTGTTGATGTAGTGGCTTTGAGATTATCTGTTACTGAATACTGATCTAAATTTAGCTAATAATATATTTATTCATCATCATATATGGAAGGTACTTTATCTGAGGTAACATATTTTACTGAATTGCAGTATGATTAGGCTTTGTGACAATATCTGACTATAAATATTAAGAGTCTGAAGAGATGTTTTTCTAGTAAATGAAATACATGCTGATTAAATTCTTACTGGTTTATTGCTTTATATGGCATGATGTCCAATTAATGCTTCCCTAGACCAATTGTTACTGAAATCTCTACTTGAACACTTACCTGGAACTATGAACTCGATTTCTTCGGATATTGCAGTTCCTAATCTATTAGATGCAAAGCAGCGGTATTTCCCTTGGAAGTGAGAGATGTGTCCCTCATTTGGGATCTTGAATGTTCCTGAATTGTTAGACATAATTATCCGAGGGTCAGAAAGATCAAAATGCTTGTCATCCTTAGTCCATGAAAATCTACAAGATAAAAAAATTATTGGTGACATTTCATAATTTTAAAACTTTAATAAACAAATACACAAAAGATAAAATCAAGAGAATTTGTGAGTTTAAAATATATACAATAAATCATGACAGTGTATAAAGAAAAGTGCAAGAAATCATAAAGGCAAGAAAAATATGTGAAACCGGGTGTTGGTGGCACATGCCTTTAATCCCAGCACTCAGGATGCAGAGGCAGGTGGATCTCTGTGAGTTCGAGGCTAGTCTGGTTTAGAAAGCCAGTTCCAGGAAAGGCTCCAAAGCCACAAAGAAACCCTGTCTCGAAAAACAAAAGACAACAAAAAAAGAAAAATGTGGAAAGTGAGATAAGATATTGAAGATTGAAGGCAGTTTTATTCTCTTTTAAAATTGAAGGTATTTTAAAAATATCTCCATAATATCTGGATGGCAACACACATACACACATATATATATATATACATATTATTCTGGATCACGTGCTTCACTGTGTATATGTCTGTGTGAAGAAACACAAACACACATACAAATTCCACTAATTCCCTTTTATCTGGTATTTTCAAGTGTGCGGCATATTTGAATCTATCTTAAATATATAATTTTTCAGTTAAAAATATCAGTTTCAAAATAATATTAAAAGTAATTTTATGATGATATAATAATATTTTTGTCATGGTGTTGCTATTTCATTTTTTAACCCATTTTGATGCTTTTCCTTTTACAAATAATAGAGTGGTAAGAAACTCTCTATACTTTAATCATTTGATAATTTATTTCCCCTTATTTCCTCAGAGCAATTCTTCATAAACAATGACAGCAGATTTATAGGTAGAAAAGTCATTATAGTTACAATTGTATTTGAGAAAAAAGTACGCAGTTAAGTTCTACCTAGTCACATATAAATTGTTGCATAGATAATGTAAACAGGTTTGTGTGACATACATAAACAAATTTTGATTTTGTAAATTGATGCATTTATCTAGGTATTCTTTATCAATAGCAAAGCAGGAATCAGATATCAGGGTAAGAACCTGGAAGATCAAAGAAGCTGTAAAGCAGTCACCAGTGACTTCCTAACTCTCCTGTCCTTCATCCAAAAGGAACAAGATCCTTTCTAAGCCCTGCCTTACTACTTCCTCAGTCCTCCAAAACCTCTGTCATTAATTCTGTCACCTAGTGGATACTCCTGCCCTCTGATTCTAAACAAATTTTACTGTCAGAATACAATAAAAATATCACAAAACCATAGTCTTAAGTACCACTTACTGAGAAATTTGGTGCTTCAGTCATAATGTACATTTGTATTGTAACTTATGATAGTCACATTAAAATAGCATGAAATAAAACCCTTTCAAATACACAAACACAAACACGCACATATAGTTTCCAGATGCATATTTACTAACATACTTACTTTGGTTCTGGGTTTCCTTTAGCTTCACATTCAATTTGAAAATACTCATCAAATGGAAACGCAACTTGCACATATGACTGCTTTGTAATTGTTGGAACCTGTTGAACTGAATATCAAAACAGTATACTTGAAGAGTAAGGTTTTCAAAAATGGGACATGATTAAATAAAGAGAACAACATGTGCTTTCTTTTTTTTTAAGAGTATAATTATCCTTATTTTTTATTTTTTATTATTTTAATTTAATTTTATTTATTTATTTTTTATTTATTTATTTTTCAGTTTAAGTTTAGATAAGAAACAAAGTTGCTTCACAAGTCAGTTCCAGGGCCCTCTCCCTTTCCCTCCACTCCTAATGCCCTCCCCCCAACCCCCCCCATTATCCCTTCATTTCCCCAGGGAGGGTGAGGCCCTCCATGGGGGTGTCCATAGTCTGTCATTTCATATAGGGCAGGGCCTAGACCCTTCCCCAAGAGTTCAGGGTGAGAGTGCACCTCATATTGTTGGATGGGAGTCCAAAGTCCATGTGTATACTTGGGATGGGTACTGATCTTCTGCCCAAGGCTCAATAGATTACTTAGGCCTCCTCACTGACACTCACATTCAGGGGGTCTTGATCAGTCCCTTGCTGGATTCCCAGGCTGATGCCTGGGATTCAAGAGTTAACCTTTGTCAGGTCAGCTGTTTCTGGGGGTTAAACCAGCCCAGTCTTAATCCCTTTGGTCATCAGTCCTCCCTCTCTGTTACTGGCTTTCTTGAGTTCAGCAAAGGGAGTCTGCCTCATCTTCGATCAGCCACTAAATGAAGTTTCTGTTTCCCAGACTCTCTGGCCACGGGATTGTAGGCTAGCACTCCCCAGATCTATGTCTAAAATCCATATATGAGAGAGTACATGCCATGTTTCTCTATTTGTGACTGGGTTACCTCACTCAGGATGGTTTCTTCTAGTGTCATGAGAACAACATGTGCTTTCTACATTGGCAAGTGTGACAGTTGATCTTCAGTGCCAATGTGACTGCATTTAGAATAGTTCAGGAGACACATGAAGAAATGCATCCATCTAGGTGTTTCCAAAGAGGTTTAAATGAGAAGAGGAATATAAAATGTCAACCGTACCAGTCAGTGAGCTGGAGGCATGTAAACTGGAAAATGGGGTAACCACCTGACCACCATTCACCCCTCCTTGTTTTCCAACTGTGGGTATAAATTGATTAACTATGTCTGTCTCTCACTGCCATCCCTGACACAATGAAGTCCATCCTGTCAAAACATGAACCAGAAAAACACCTTCCCTCCACTAGGTGCTTTTAAAAATACTCTACCATAGCAATGAGAACGGTAATTAATATTGTAAGGAAAATTCTATCCCAAGAATTTTGCTTCTCTTTAACAGTTGTGTATGTCTACAGAGAATAGTCCCCTGCCATCGTTTTATATTGTCTCATACACAACCTTCAATTAGCCCCAGAAATGTGTGATAACTTTATAAAATCACAATAAAAACAGCCCATTATCAATCAAAATATGTATTTAAAATTTTTGGCATATCATTTATGTGGGCATGTGTACTGATTTTTACAAATTTCTGTCATGTGGAAAGTTTTCTGTTATTTTTCCTGCTTCTATCTAGATATCATAATTAACTAATTTAGCATCTTTCACCCTATTGATGTCCTGTGTCTCTTTTGATATTTCTTGTATTATGGAACATGTTTATTTTCCATCTCTCTTTCCAGTTAATATGTTTTTCAACTCATATCCTGGGCATCATAGGTTTTTCCATTATTGGATTATCAATGTGTGATAAATTTTCATATATAATGGAACTGACTCTACGAAGAAATGCCAAAATCATTTTTCAAACAATGTGTGATTACAGTAGTCCTCTTAGTCTGAAACCATTGATTAATGGATCATTAAATATGCTAAAGGTCAATGTTTATTGCAGAAGAATTTCTCTTTGTTTGATTTCCATTTTTGTTGATAAAAATTTTCTACAATCTTCCTTGGTGTTTGACGTTCATAAATTTATCTTTATTTCTCTTCCCTACTTGTACTGTCATTCCCTATCCTAAAATCAGTTTAAAATAAGACTACCCAAAATTCATGGATGTTGAAGACAGGCACTTGAATTAGGTTTTGAAAGATAATGGTGTACATAATGCTATACTGCAGGTAAGTACTCAGTAATTTTCAAACCGAGATATTCTTTAGTACAATTCTGTCAGGTGTTAATTTATAGTATTTATTTATAAGGAATTACAAAGCAATCAGTAGCAGGAAATCTCTTTGGCATATGTATTTTTGAGAAATGCAATTTGCATACAAATAGCAACTGACTGCTGAGTACTATTCAATAGTAAAGATACAGTTAGGACCTTCAGCCCTGTTACATTGGGCTAGGTCTTGACTTCTTCAACTTCTTTAAAATTACAAGGCATCTAAAGTGCCCATGTTCAAATGGATTATAAATTTTAACTACATAAAAAGTTAAATCTGAATGTGTTTAATTATTTTTTATATATTCACATAATATATTAGAATAAATAACATCTCGTGAAATCACAAACATCAGGAGAAGGGTTGCATTATTTTCTATGATGGCACATCTCTCATTACTAAAGAAAGGACAGCAGGAGTCTCATATTTGCTTCTACATTCTTTATATTGTAAGAAGGTAGTGTGATTATAAGTGTACAAATTCAGCTTCCTACAAACATGTAAATAAAAGAACTGGGAAATTATACATTACATCCAGATGATTTTGGGTATTATTTTATTGTGAAACATCTATTACAATATGAAATCTAAAACTAAACCTGTATATTTCTTCCTATTCTATTATATTGAACCATTATACCTACTTCTTGATCTATGTATGCTTTTTTGACCAGCCCCTGGTAGTCTTTAGAAAAAGTCTGTGTTTGCAGATTGATGTTTATCTGACAAATATTTGTACACAGGTCATCAAAAAATGTCACTTGACATTGCCTCTGATCTAATCAGGAAAGTCACTGATATTTGAAAGCCTTTGTGCTCCGGCTTTTAGTAGAGGATACAAGTATTCTTCAAGTCTAATTTTTACTTGAACACTCAAATTTGGTCAGTGACAGTTATCACATCTATACTGCCAGTTTATTTTAAATTGTCAGAATGATTTTGTTCCTTTTGGGGAAAATATCTGCCTGTAAACATCTGACCAACCATAATGAGTCTGTCAGTCATACTTTCAAGTAAAAATAGTGTGTGTGTGCTAAAGCAACGATATAATTGAGAAAGAAGAAAACCTTTGGGCTTCAATGCAGCAGAATTATTTTATGTCTATCTTATATTGCATTCTAGGAAGAGAATTAGCGAAGTTAAAACTGTTTTATGGATTCAGTAATTTTAGTCTTAAGAAAAATTGTTCTGGTTTAGGGGTATATAAATATGAGTACATGACCATGAAATACATCTTGTGTGCTGGACAACTCAGAGCTGGTGCCATCATTCATGTTAGAGAAAGAAAAAATTTTCTACTACATATTTCAAGTAATCAGTACAAATGACAACAGCAATAAAAGGGGATAGGAATTGGCACTAGGATATTGTTGTCAAAACACTTCGATCTCACACATCATCTAAATGTATCTTTGAGATCCCGAAGCACCCACAAACCAATGAAAAATTTGCAAATATTTTATTTTTTGCATATTAAAAGTGGTCAGTCACATTGTCACCATGTTGCCCATAGTAACTAAATTCAGGCAATATTCAGTGGATATTGATCACCATTTTAGTATTGACTAAAGCATCCACATACTCATTAGCAATTGTCTTGTTTCTGATTAAAACCATTCCTAAGCAAAGTGGGTACTGAGTTTCTTGTAAGTTCACCTTGTTTAAATTCTATTGCAGTTACAAATGGTAGAGAGGGACACAATAGCAGCAGTCCCAAAGACACCAGCTAATAACCAGAGAACAACTTGTTTATTACAACATTATTCTTTCTTAAATTTGCTAAAGTTGTAAAGGTTCTGCAATAACTAATTATACAGGGAGTGCAGCTAATAACCTTTGGGTGTTTGTATGAATATATATTCCACATTACAAATCCTTTCCTCTATAATTAGGCCAATTACAGAGACACCAGACTCGTTGACATTCAAATTGGATACCTGCCTTGGTTGCATTTACTAGTGAGTACTCTAGAGTGCCAAAATAAATGGGCACTATTCAGTTGCTCTGAAAACATGCTATTAATATTTTATAACAATTGTCTGAGGACATTACTGCATGAATGATAAGTAAGAGAAATGATCAGAATTATAATAAGCGATGTAAAGTAATATAACATTTTTCATCCTACATCACTGAAGAATTTGTGCAAAAACAGGGAACATGTATGTGTTTGTGAGAGACTAGGGTCTGTGGTTTGAATCTGGAACATCACGTGCATCCTTGCTGCTCTTAACTGTGCCCTGCACTCTTATACAAGAAAATTTAACGAGGCTGCAGAGCTGGCTCAGGAGTTAAGAGTCCTTGCTGACCATCCAGCAGACCTAGGTTTGGTCCCCAGAACATGTAAGGTGTTGTACAACCATATAATTGCAGTTCCAGGGTATTGATTGCCTTCTTCAGGCCTGTTTTGGCACCTTGCATGCACATGGTGCACAGACACACCTTAAGCAAAATCAAAAACCAAAAACTCACATATTTCTTTTAAAGAAAGAATCTACTAAAAATGAGCATGTTTATATCCTCATCTGGTCACTGATGAATTCTGATGAATTTGTGTAAGTTGCAAGATTTCATCTACTTATCAAAATAAATGTACACATATACATAAACATACATGCAAATAGGGAACTGGACTTCCTTAACAGATCAGAACACATAAATAAAGGCTCAACCATCTGATAAGAATAGAGGAGAGTACATTCTCACCTGTGGAATCAAGGTAGTATTAGGTATTACAATTTTGAGCTCTGATATGACTTTCTGTTATTTTAATAACCCATCAGTCTCACTTTTAAAAACAACTTGCCTTGGGAAAGAACATAAGGCTTCTAGGGCTGGAGTAATGGCTGAGCAGTTAAGAGCCTGTACTGCTCTTGCAAAGAACACAAGTGTAGTTCTCAGCTCCAGTGTCAGGGCTATTACCTAGCTCCAGGTAGATCTGATGCCCTGTACTGACCTCTGAGGGCACATTCACTCATATGCACATAAACATACCTGAGCATAAATATAAATAATTGAAAACAAATCAAATCTCTTTTTTAAATGAGGCTTATCCAATTATTTTTCATTATAGCTCTTTCAACGTTAGTAATTCCTAAATTAAAAGTCTCCTTAAAGTAAGTAACCCATGTATATAAAATAAAATGCCTCTTTTAGTTTCCCAGGTCTTCCTAGATCTGTGACAAAATATCACCTAGTCTTGTAACAGACCAAGGTTAGATAAAAGGCAAAATAACTAAGTTGAAAAATTATGAGAGGAACTAAATATCCTAACCCAAACCTAAAATGTATAGCCATGAAGCTTCATGATAGTTCAGAAATAGAATACAAAAGTTACATCCTCGGTCCACATACATTCTTCTTGAAAAGTGGACATAACCACTTAGAGTTTGCTCTTTCAGGTTCCTACTGTGGCCACCATGCCTGCCTGCCATTACACTACCCCACTGTGATGAACTCTTACCCCACTGGAAACATCAGTCCAAATAAATTGTTTCTTCTATAAAAAAAAAGTGGACATAAACTTCCATAGTAGGGTCTGGGCGCAGCACTCTTACCTGAGAGTGGTATTTCAGCTCTTGACAACTTTAACAGGAGGAAAATTAGGCTCAAGATCAGTCCTCTTCCATGTAATTGTATGCCCATTGTTCTTCAGAAAGAAGGCAAAAACGCAAAGACTGAAAAATGTAATGTGGTACTTTCCAGTCCCAACTTAGGAAAATGTGGAAAACCTGGAAAAGCCCACCAGAAAAACAGGATATTAGTTAATCTACTTTAAAATGTGAACACAACAAAAATTAAACACATTTTGTAATTAACAAACTAATGAACTCACTATCTAATAATACTAAAAAATAAGAGTTTTTATTCTTTATATTCAAAACAAGACATGTTAAAGTATGGTATATTGTAAAATATGAACCATTCCAATGAATCCTATTTGTAAATCAGAGGAAGATTTATACTGAAAGCTGTTTCTCACACTATAATCAGTCAGTGGCTATGAGAATAATTTCATTTATCTTATTGAGAAAGCAATGAATCCTCAATTAAATCTTTATATTAATATTAAGGATCATAGAGAAAAATCTTGGGCCCTTCTGCTAAAGTAAATTTTCATATTCAAAATTAGACAGTATTCCTATTAAGACAGAAGGAAAAAGAAAGGAAATAATGGAGGGAGCTATGGAGATGGAACCAGTCATTAAGGCACTAATCATGTCATTATCAGGGCCTGAGTTCAAATCTTAAGAAGCAAAACAAAAAGTCAGGCATGGCTGGGAATGGCTACAAAACCAGTGATGGGAAGGCAAAGATCGCAGGTCCCTGGGATTCCTTGACTAGATAAGCTAGTAAGTTAATAAATTGATAAGTTTGCTACAGGTTCTATGGGAGTTCCTGTCCCAAAAAGGAACATTGGCAAGACTGAGTACATCCTAATGACATGAAGAGATGGAAATTCATTATATTCATGTATGAAACTCTCAAAGCTTAAGGAAGTGAAAGTTATAAAGGCAGAGAGTGATGAATGAAGTCATTCAGTGACGACCCTTGACCTCCATATGAACACATACATGCATAGTCACTCCTGAACATACACCCACAAACATCCACAACCAAATATGCACAAGTACACACATGCACACGCAAACAACAGATGGAGAAAGACAATATATTTTAAGTAAAATTCACAAATAAGTCATTGTTTCAAGCAGAAGAAAAGTTGTCACTTGATTTCTATCTGAAAATAAAATAATTAAACTTTGACTTTCTTTCCTTCCTTATATTACTGCATTTTCTCCCTGAAATATTATAGTGGCATCTTCACATCATATATATCTCTGTGATTGTAACACAATATTTTGCTCCAGAATGTGATTGTTTTTCATGAATGCCATTTTCTTATCCCTATGAAAAATCAATTACTTTATTAGTTCATTATAGAAACAGACATATCTCTAAATTTAAATTTATTTCCAAGTATGTTAGTTCTTAAGTTTCACTTCAGATTTTAACTCAAGAGATTCTAGGGGCTGAGCAGCCAGATAGTTCAATGATAGCTCCTTGACTTCAACTGCTAGCAATGTAAAACAAAAAGAGAGAAAAAGACAGTAGAGCCTGTGGCCTCAGTTTCTTTTCCTGTTGCTATAATAAAAATACTCTGACAAATAATAAAAGGTAATTTTAGCTCAGATTTCAAGGCATAGTCTAGCTATGGAGAATCATGGAAGCAAGCAATGGAAGTGCCTGGTCACATTGCTTTCACACCCATAAACTGACATGGATGCATGCTTTTAACTGTTCTTTTTCCTTTTGCTACATACAAAGTCCAAGATCCTAACCAGGAATTGGTGCTACCCACAATAGACAGGTTTTCGAACCTCAAGTTAACATAATAAAGATAATACCCCCAGCCTGTGGCCATAGTCTTATCTCCATTGGATTCTAGATTCTGTCCAGTTATCATACACACACACAGACACACACACACACACACACACACATGTAAAAAAACAAAAAAGCAAGCATAATGCTGTATTTTATGTCTATGACTTCAGAAATATTCATTGACAATAATTCCTGTTGTATTTTGGCTTTAAGGAATTCTAAAAAGATCATGAAGGACAATACCCTCCTCCTCCACTACACAGTCCTCAGAAGACATCAATTAGGAAAGCATTTTATTTTGTGCATTATTTTACTTTATCTGATCTTAATTGTCCACCTGGAAAATGGGAATTTAAAAGCCAAACTCATCCTTGCTTGCTTAAAAGTATTTATTTATATTACTAATTTAATCTATTTTCAGACATATCCTTGTGATGATTGACAGCTCATTTTGCTTCTGAAATAACTTATTCTCATCAGCAAGACAAAATGAATAAAAACATCATCAGAAGAAAACATCTGAGTTCTACATATTAGCACAGAACTGCATTCCATTACAGTACACATTCCATCTACTTCAAAAATTAAATGTGCAAAGAAAATACTAACATCTACCCTTTGAATTTTCCTTTCCCTCCTTGTTAAACAGTTGACAACAAAAATCTGCATTTACTATGTACAGTAGTATACCACTCCTAGCCTATATTATCTAGCATGTGATTACATTAATGTTTAATACTGATGGTTTCAATGGAATCTCATATATGCATTTAATGAATTGATCTCAATTTGTAAGGAGTAGGTTTTTAAAACCATGATGATGTTAAAAAGCCACGTTTCCAGGTTAGTATCTAATATATCATCATAGCCAGATTTAAGGACAGCCCACTAAGTCAGAACTGGCTCATTTATTTATTTTCCTGATTTAGAGTAATGAATTAAATGGTCTCTAATTACTGTAGTAGAGTAGATCATAAAAGCTTGCTACTGACTGGGAAGTTTAATGGTTTTACCTATATGGTCAACCAACGCATCCAATCCCATAAGAGGACATAGGAGAGTTACAGTAGTAATGCTTGTACTCTGGTGACAGAGTCAGGAGGGTCATAGGCCAATTTGGTATGCATAGTAAGATCCAGGACAGCCAAGACTACATAAAGGATCACAAAACGAACAAAACAGCACTACATTGAATCTCAGCCTTACAGTAAGACTACTTGCTTAGATGCATATCAAATTCCAGAATATAGCTCATTCTTCTTATCTTCTACAGGGACTGCCTTCCAGTTACCTGCAATTTGCATGCTCCTCTGGTATGACATTGAAATTATTAGAAGGCAAAATGTGAGACCATTTTTAAGGAAGCCTTCAATTCTAAAGTCAGAAATCCCAAATAGCTTCCAGACTGTGGAAGAAAGTATGCCTTATTTCATTGTCAGAAGCATAAAGGGTAAATCACTGGGTAATTCTATTTTAAAACAGAAAACAGCAATAAAATCATAACCTTATTTAACTTTTTAAAAGAATTTGAATTTAATGACTCACACCAGAGCTCAAAGACAAAAGCAATTATTGCAGCACAGGATAGAGCAGACACATAACACAATTGTAAGATATACAAAAGTTACATTGACACAATTTCTAATAGCTTAGTTTTATGACTTTGACTATAATGCAAGATAAATCAATCCACTTGCATGAAACACAATATTGGATAAAACTCTTATTATTTTAATACATTGCTGGAAATAGAAATTTATTTCTGTTACATGACAGAATATAAGAAAACAGACATATAGATGTCACATCACACATTTGACCCTTCCAATTGGCTAAGATTCTCTGGAATTAAGCACAAGTTAGTTTATAGTTTATAGTTTTCAGGCATTACTTTAGACAAGGACAAACAGACAATTGCCAAAGTGCTACTTCCAATGTACCAGTTACAAGGAGATGCCATAGATGCATCTGGTCATTTTTTGTTTGTTTGTTTGCTTATAGCACTACAGACAAAACCTAGGATTTCCTACATGCCAAACAAGTGCCCTACAACTAAGCTATACCCATAGCTCCCTCTGAGTGGTCAGTGGGGGGCATGGGAGGATGGGAGGAAGAAGGAACTGGTATTGATATGTAAAATAAGATTGTTTCTAATTTAAATAAAAAGGAAACTATGTAGGCATTCCAAGGCTACACATCTAGCAACAGTTTAGTATCTTAATTTAAATGGATCTTTTGTATTTGAAAAGGAAAGGAGAGGAGGCTAAGCTTTTGTTGATCCTACTTTGTTTCCTGAGAAAATGCTGGACTACTGAGGCCTGCTGAGCAGTCTGAATAACAAACCTGACCATGGAAAAATGAATCACTGTACATATCTATCACTCAGTACACTGTTCAGGAGAGTTAATTTGTCCTCACTCATATATTTAATGCCAGTCAGTTTTAATAGTTTCTATACAATATGAATTATTCAGGGTCAGGTGGGACAATGTATAATTAGCACATATTCAGTCCTAACAGAACTGGTAGTGGTGGTCTCTGTGCTCCTGGTGGGGACAGAATTATTCTCTGTTAACCTGTATTAATACTACTCTTGATTTTAAGATTATGGTTAGCTTACAGGCTCTTTGATTTACAGAATCATTTATATCACATGCTCAAACAAAAATATAATTTCAAAAATGTTAGTGGCATAATAACATCATGGAACTCAAATATTCTAGAAACTAAAAAGGCAAAGGAAGAGATTGCAAAACCCTTCTCCTTTCTGCATTGTTGTGGGCATACACCTTCATTCAGCATATCTTTAAATGCTATCCTGATAAGCTCCTTCCTTACTGTAAGGACATTGCAGACCTCTGGCTCACTGGATGACTTATGATTCTGGGATCTAGAAAGCCTTGCAGAGCTTCCGTCTGTCAGCCTTCTGCATGTATCATGAGAACAAGCCCGGGCTCCCCAGCTTAAAGACTGCAGACATTTCACATCCCGATTGTAATCCTAGCCAACACGCAGCCAATCTGTAAAAAGAAAGCCATCCTAGAACAGCCAGGTGAAAATCACTGGGTCCCTGAACAGATAGTTGAGAATCAGCTCTGTCATTATCAGTATGGCTAGAGGAGGACAGTAGATTCTCCCAAGAAACAATAGACTGGAATAATAGTATACTATTCTTTCAGTTGACCCAATCGGTTTTAGGCTGACTTGCCATGTAGCAATAGCTATATGTTATCCCAGATGGAAAAGCACAAAAGAATTGGTTCAAATGATAAGTGCTTAAGCTGTGGAATGTATTTTATTCTATTTCTTTTAAGGTATATATTGATGTTTCTGTAAGAAAGTC